CAACTACTTTAAAAGCCGACATCTGGGCACATTTCGGCTGTGTGTAAATCACGTCACGCACAATAAAATATGCAGGGGGTAATATCACTAACTTGAGAAACCACGTCAGGTACAGTTCATATATCTGACTGCTTGTATTTATTGACAAAATTGTATACATGTGAAGTAAAATTGAAAATTGAGGATGCAGTGCATTGTGATTCATCGTGATATCGAATTGAACCGAACCGATGACATGATAATCGTAATCGAACCGAACCGTGAGACCAGTGTAGGTTCACACCCCTAGTAACAGGCTCTTGGTTTTGTTGTACTGACTGACATCCTGCTATTACCGGCCTTTGTTTCACGTGCAAATCGCATATCAAAGAGCGCTGATGACTGTCATGGTTATGTGTTTGAACTACTGAAGCTTGCGTGTGTGCGCGTATGTTTGAACAGAGGGCCTGTGTGTAGCTCCCTGCGTACTCTCTGTCGGCCTTCTGCCCCTGGCTGGCTGTTTGTGTTCATATGTCAGGAGTCACTTACAAATGATGCATTGGTGTTAATGGACAACTTCCTGTTTAAATAAATACAGATGAAAGGCTTATTCAGTGCACATATTGCTTGAACCTTTCCAGCAGAGCCACGTGTGACGGAACGGTTGCCATTTCTCTACCATTCTTTTATTGTCAAAGGTTTGTTTATCTCTGGAATAAACAGAGAAATGACCTACAAAGGTCCGGCGGGTTACGTTACAGCTAAAAAAAATAAAATAAAAAATATTGCGAGTCAGAGTTTTTCCATCACAGGGACTGGTAACATCAATTGCAACTGCCCCCGTGTGAACCAATCACAGCCTCTGGATCCATTCACATGCACAAAAAAGAGAAATAGAGAAGGTGTCTGTTTTCTGAACAACTCACCATGTAAAGGCCGAACAAGGCCCTCATGTTTCTGTTGTTAAGCTTCAGTGCCTGCGCAAAATACTTCCTGGCCAGCTCGAGGTTTTCCAGACCTCCCTGGGTGTACTTTACCTGGGGGAGATTGTAGAGGAAACAGAAAGGTGATGTTGTGTTATAGGCACACTTAAAGCTGACATGAGATCTAAATAAACAGAACATGATCTAAATAAACAGGAAAATCCTATACAAGCAAACAACATGATGGATGCACCTAGTCATAGAGTGCTAAAAGGGAGTTCTAGCTTATATGGCGATGTGTTTTCTGTCCACATTACAAATGCAATGTTGCAAACGACAAACATCAGACCCTATTAGAATATATTCAATGTTTAATAATGGTGTGGATAAGGATGTTGGACCAATGAGATTTTACAGTGGCAGACCCACTTAAGTGGCAGAAAAAAAAATGTGGTCATGGTTAAGGTTGGTTGGGGGGGGATGATAAAAAACACAACTCGGATTAACACAGAAGATATAAAAGGATTTGACTAAGATTTGAATAACTGATGCAAACTTTTATGTCTGTACATAGACTCATCAACAGGAGAAAAAATGCTGTGACTTTTCATTATTTTAACAATAAAAACAATATTTAAATTTGATAAAAACAAGAATATATTCAAACATAAGATCACACACAGACAATAAATATACAAGTTAATAGTTTGTGTATACAAATATATATTTGTATATTTATGTGGTTAGCCACAAATACCAAAATGAGTGGCCAACTGCGCTAAAACGTTCAAATACATAAAAAATTATGTCAAAATGCCCGTTTTGGCGAGTATCCAGTTAAACACAGTCAGTTTTGAAACGTTAAATACCGTATTGAGCCGAATATAAGACAAAGTTTTTTTCTTGGAAATACAGCTGAAAAAACGCGGTCGTCTTATATTCAGGGTCTAGATTTTGACATGTCAACGACAAAGCCACAAGACACAAAAATGAGCCAAATGTGTCCAAAAGCTGTGGACGGGGTTGGAAGGCTCGTTACCGCCTCAAGTCCTGAAAACCGCACGGCATTTTTAGCTACCGTTAGCAAGCTTTGTCTCGTTCCGTGCGAGGTCCACACATCGAGGCCCATATAGTACGTGCTTGCGCACACATATCAATTTATCACAACACATCAAATCGTATAACAGAGCTGGAGTGCGTCCAATCGAGTTATGGATGGTAATCTTACGACTGGCAGAAATAACGTGTTGACGCAAACTGGACTTTTTTTTGGTGGAAAAAGACTGTTGCCGTTGCTGACTCGTATAAGATGATGAGTCTATCTAGCCGTTTAGGAAATGTTCAAGTGACTTTGAATACAAAGAGAGACAGTCAAAGAGGTTGAAGGAGTGAGCCAGTGAGATCAGGCCACTCAGAAGGTTGAAGGCTGCTTGCAATTACCATTTCCTCTCCATAAAGACTTTCAGATGTGCTCCTGCCATGGCGTAAACTGCGGCAGAGCAGTGCAAAGAGTGAGAGAGAGATAGACATGGAGATACACAGAGAAAGCAAGGCATGCATCAATCTACATCACTACTGAACTCAACACCCACTACCTGAGCATTCAACATCCACGGCCAACTTTACCCGTCTTCCATTTGAAATATGAAAGCACGTTTCTGTCTCAGAGTAATTGAAATTTTGATTTGATTTTGTCTCCTAATTTGACTTTAAATCTCAAAATTTGTCTCTCTCACAAATTTGACTTTATATACCAAAATGCTAACTTTAAATTTCACAATGTGATTTTAATTTGTAGATAACATTTAAAATAGCATTGTAAGATTTATAAAGATATAAAGCCACATTGGGAGATATAAATAAACATCTAATTGAATATAGGATTATTAATTTTATTTTACTTCAAATAAAATAAACGTACATTGAAATATAATATTATAAAAAAAACTTAACCTTATTTTAATTTCAGGTAGTTGCCTAGGAAACATTTCTCATTTTGTTTACCTCGATATACTAAAATAACTAAAGCTAAAATAAAAAAACTATATAGGCATACAAAAAAAAAAACCCACAAAAAACTAAACACGCATACTAAATACCTATACATACTAAACATTTGTAAATTTTAAATGATTAATAAAACTATTAATAAAAACTATAACAATATCAATATCACTGGGAAAACTGGGAAATATAAAGTCACACTGAGAGATATTAAGACTTAATTCTAAGAAATGAAGGAGCAATTACTTTATTTTTCAAAGGCGTAATCGTGCTTCCACATTCATTTCCTGATGAACCTACAAACCTAGCGATGGGTTAGAATGACCGACTTGTTGTCCAACAACCAACTGGTCGATTAGTGATGTAAACTGAGTTTATCAAGACTTTCCTTTCTAGTACACTCCATCTAACTGATTTTGACAGAATCTACAGTAGTCAATATTTGAAGTGGATCAAAAAAGTTTATCAAAGTTGTCCTAAGACAAGAAAACATTTTGGTTTTAGGTTTTAGGACAACTTTGATGAAAGGTTTTGATCCACTTCAAATGTGGACAAGTGTAGTCTAATCTGTGTTTGGTTTACATGACCAACCAGTGAAACAACACAGGGCTCACTTAAGACCAACTAGTTTTGCACCCTGCAACCTAAATCTAGCAAATAATTCACCACTTTGACACGTTTCTTTACCAAAGTAGTATTTGATTTAATTCTAATTAAAAAGTGTGATTCACTAGTGGCCTACTTGTACTACGGACTTAGTGTAGATAGCCGTCCGTCATAGCTATGTAATCAGCTGGTAGGGTGGCATTTGTTTGTCTTCATCTTGTTTTGACTGGTTGGGAGAATGGGTGCCACCTCATTCTCTTGGGAATTTCTCTTTTTCCCTTTTCTCCTGTTCTTCTTTCACAGCGTGGAAGAGAGATGTGATAATGCAGGCTTTGCCGGAAGAGGAGGGAAAGGGAAAAAGCGAGTCTGTGACCTGAAATAAAGAACAGAAATAGAAAGGGAAAAAAGAAAAAGAGTGACACTGACACGCCTATAGATAGGGGGTTGTCAGAGAATGGTGTGATATTAGAAAAGTTGGGCTAAGCGGGTAGATAATCCTCTCACCCCTGGATTTCCTCTGTCAGCTACAGCAATAAAGCCCTTTACACAAAACCGTGAGGTATCTAATAAGCGGTGCTCTCACCGAGCGACTGCATTCCTACGGCCAGCGCCCTCCGACCGGGACAACCAACTTTTTCTCTCTCTCTCACACGCATACTAACACCCTGTAGCCCCCCTCGTGGACAATAAGATCAAAACAATTAAAAGAAGGATGGAGGAGAGGAGACAAAGTAAGTTTCCTGCAATCCTGATGCCTGGCAGAAAGTAACCCCTGGCAAAAGAGATATCAGCAGGGGAGCACAGTCTTATCCCAGGAGTTGGAGAGGGGGCTCAAGGAACAAATCCTATTATGGCCCTACTCCATAGGACAAACAGACACGGAGCTTTCAGCAGGGCCACTGGCTGAGACTGGCATTTCACTGTCTTTTACTCCAGAGGGTCCCACAGCTCTGCAGCAACCATCGCACGTCAACCGAAGGTCCTGAGAATGACCTGCAAGATGCTGGTGAATGTGACCTCACAACCCTCGTAAACATCACATTCCGTGCGGACAACTTCTGGACATTTTACTGACACACTGGTGACTGATTAAATGTTTTTGATGAGATGAAATTATATCTTAAAATTATAGTTTAGGAAGGACAACCAACTTTTTCTCTCTCTCTCACACGCATACTAACACCCCGCAGCCCCCCTCGTGGACAATAAGATCAAAACAATTAAAGAAGGATGGAGGAGAGGAGACATAAAGTAAGTTTCCTGCAATCCTGATGCCTGGCAGAAAGTAGCCCCTGGCAAAAGAGATATCAGCAGGGGAGCACAGTCTTATCCCAGGAGTCGGCCCTGTTTTGCCATGAAAAGTAATTTTCAGAAAAGTGTTCTAGTTATGTTGTTTCCGTATGGGGTCAGTTGGACCACAGACAATTTGATTAACCCTCATGTTCTATCAATTTTTGCAAGAATAAAGCAAACAAAGACTCCAAAATTGAAACTAGGTAAGAAATCATTACTCATGCTCATTGATGTAGAGTTCTGACAGCTCATGCCATGCTTCCTGGTCTCCCACAAACCTGCAAGACAGAGTAGTGGTAGTTAGCTCATCAGAAAGGCCACTGTGGACAAAAGGGGGGTTAGGGAAAGGCTTGGGGGCCAACTCAATCAAATGCAAAACCTTTTTTAATTAAAAAGAGGAGGGGAAGGGAAGGGTAAAGGGGGGTCTAAATCCTCTTGTAAAACACTCACTGCTCCAGATATTCGTTGAGCTCGCGGATGGCCTCGCTGCTTTTGCCCTGCGCTCGCAGGATGGAGATCTTGCGCTTCCTTGCTGCCTGTTGAGTTGACATCAACAGAGGATTAGGGCTTTAGAGTTTCAAGTGTTTGTTAGCAACAGAAAAGAGCAAAGAGTGAAAGAAAGAGGGATGTGTAAATGATCATAGTATTGTGAGAGCTGAAGGAATCTCCGCAATCCCCTGGGGTTTTTTTTTGATCAGACTCTGAAGACAACAGGGACGGCATCACAGTCTAACATAGTTGGATTTTACTCCATCTTACGAGTTTAGATCAGACAAATACTGATTCTGAGTTTTAAATGCTAAATTCAATTTAGATATATTACAGTGAAGTCAAACACTGTCAGATTGTCACAAAATAACGGTACAGATAGAACATTAGACAAAGTCCTATTTCAGTTACAGAAATTGATCACCTATCACTTGGATATCCAGACTTCTGACTTATGGCAAATAAGTTAAAAACTGATTTAGCATTTTGTTAATAATAATTATAGATGTGATGTGTTACAAAACTGATTTTTTTTTGTGGCATATTTTTGTTCCAAATTGTATTTCCTTTTCTTTATTTTTTATTTAGACACTTGATACTTACCAAAAACATTTCTGTGGAATATTACACAGAGATTTTTAACCTAACCTAAAAAAAAAAAATACAAAAATAAAAAAATCTGAAAAAAAATTACGCTACAAAAAAAGTTTGTCATTTATGTGTAAAATTCATATTTAGAAGTTAAAATTCAAAACTATTAAATATGCTACTAAATTCTATTTTGATAAATGTTAAATCTAAAAGGTAAAATTTACAAAATTCAAATCTCATGTTCTTTTTCATAAAAAATTTAAAACGACACAAAGTATAGAAAATGCTCTTAAAAAAAAAAAAAACTCAACCTTCCAACCATGACAGGGGTTGTGAATGTTACAATGTATATTTTAAAACAGCCTTACAGCAACAGCCTAAAAGCATCAATCCTTCTTTGAAATAGAGTGTTATGTAGAAATAAATGCTGTCCGTCACTGGACAGAAGTGCATGTGCAGTCCTTTTTTTTCCTCCCCTGAGGCAGTATTATAATAAACAGCCTTGCACCATCAGATTGTCCAATATGACATTTCCTTGAAAGCATATTATTACTGCATTCAAGTCGTAAGTAATATAACAGCAGATACCGAGAAGTAATGTCTTTATCAGATTAGAAAGGGAGTTGGAGAGGGGGCTCAAGGAACAAATCCTATTATGGCCCTACTCCATAGGACAAACAGACACGGAGCTTTAAGCAGGGCCCCTGGCTGAGACTGGCATTTCACTGTCTTTTACTTCAGAGGGTCCCACAGCTCTGCAGCAACCGTCGCACGTCAACCGAAGGTCCTGAGAATGACCTGCAAGATGCTGGTGAATGTGACCTCACAACCCTCGTAAACATCACATTCCGTGCGGACAACTTCTGGACATTTTACTGACACACTGGTGACTGATTAAATGTTTTTGATGAGATGAAATTATATCTTAAAATTATAGTTTAGGAAGGAAAAACTGTACATTTCTACATTGTGTAACAATACACTAAAGTCAATCTTAACATTAAACAATACACTGAAGCAAATCTGCTGACATTTACAATGCTCAGATTTTCTAAAAAATAAAATAAAATAAATAAAAATACAATTTAACCAATTCTAGCTAATTTCCAACTAGTTGATCATTATTTTTACATTATGTGCATAACCAATAAATGGCAGATGTAAATAATTCTATACTGTTTTGCCTGAATAAATTAAAATTAGCACAAAATATCAAATTATTTCAAAAGCGACAAGTGAATTTATGGCATCAAACAATATAATGTAGAGTATGAAAAATTGATATTTCTCTTGAGATTTGCACAGTGTTATTAAACAATTATTCTTTTTAAAAAGATTATCTTTCAGTGAGTAATCCAAATGTCACAATTAAATATCCAATATCGACTGATACTGAAAAAAAAACTCTAATGTCAGATAACTGAAATTGTACAAAAATAAAATAATTAATTAACACTGACATTTGATGGAATAGACTAGTTTTTTTACACAATTAAGTATGGATTAAAATTAATCTTATTTTAAAACAGCCTTACAGCAACAGCCTAAAAGCATCAATCCTTCTTTGAAATGGAGTGTTATGTAGAAATAAATGCTGTCCGTCACTGGACAGAAGTGCATGTGCAGTCCTTTTTTTTCCTCCCCTGAGGCAGTGTTATAATAAACAGCCTTGCACCATCAGATTGTCCAATATGACATTTCCTTGAAAGCATATTATTACTGCATTCAAGTCGTAAGTAATATAACAGCAGATACCGAGAAGTAATGTCTTTATCAGATTAGAAAGCCTGTGGATTATGGCGCACGAGCATCAGCGAGGAGGATGCTCACATAAGGAAGAGCAAGTACCCATTTCAAGTGGTGAAAATAACACATTGCCAAAGAGCCGCGGGCCATATGCATTCACATAAACTTACAAAGCCCAGTTTGCATCAGCCACAAATAACGTCCGCCTTGTTCTGACGCAGAAGTGACCTTCAAGTGGATTACAATCTCATCAATCTGAAACAGAAAGTATTAGCCTACGCCAGATTCGACGACTTTTCCTGGAGTGGCTCTTTTTTCCCTTCACTGGTGACAGGAGAGCAAAGAGCAGAAGCTTTACCGTTTGAAGTGCCCCAGATATTATTTATGAACTGGCACTTGATAGAGTGGGTCTTCCCTAGTACCACAGCACGGACCAAACTTCATCAAGGCGGGCATGAGTCACGTCTGAAAGGCCATAAATCTGGAACTGCTATGATACCACCGCCACTCCATATCTACTTATCCATCAACCAGGCGGCCAGACGAACCTGCTTCACTCGCTGCTCGAGCTAAGGAGTTGATGAACTGCCAAACCCCTACTGTACGCAAGTCTGATAGTACTTACTGGATCAGCGGAAGACAAGGTTTCACATTACCGGGCTGCAGATGACAGGTGAAATAAGGCTAGAGCTACAACCTCAAGCTGTTTGGATTATTGTACGCATTCTGTATCGCTATATAACTTTATCCTCTAAAAGTATTCAAAGAAACTGTGGAACGGAATCAAACGGCAATTCCAAATAGTTTAAGCTATCAAATTGTATTGTTAATGTTCAGTTTCTGCCAACGAACGATTTCTTTGTACTCGATACTGAACAAGACGGAAGGCTGTTTGCGACCGCAGGTTATTTACTCGGCCCGCTTTCGTTTCCTCTTAGCGCACTTGGCACTGACAGAAACATACGGAGGCTGGTAGACCAGAGAGTCTTACGAAACTTTATTAAACAATGAGCTATTCCAAACCATTTCAGTCTCTTTATTTCTTTCCCTCCCTCTCACTTCTCTTTCGATGTGATCCGGGAAAGGTCACCATCTCATTTTCATTCTCTTTGCAATTCTTTCTTCTTAAGCATTTCTGAGTGGCTCACACCGTGAAGGACCTGGCTGCTTCTATCAACCCCTGGCTCCACTTTCAGACTGCCGTTGAGAGCCCACCTCCAGGGATTTCAAAGGCAAACGTCGTTCCCACAGGGTGAAGAGGAGTTGACTCTCAGCGCTGTGGTGTACCGACACGACCTGACTTCAAATTCATCCTCAAATAAGAGAATTACCTGCTAGTGGTTTCAGCATATCCAGACCAAATCTACAGGAATGGCTTAAGAAAAAAATGATCAGAAGCAGTCGACCCAGACCAAATCTACAGGAACGGCTTAAGAAAAAATGATCAGTAGCAGTCAATGAGTTCTTTCTAACAGTGTTTAAACGGCTTAGAATAATGGTCTCATAGAGTGTTGTTTAAAAAAAAATGGTTGTGTTTTCACAATAAAAACTAAATGTAAAAAAGTCCAAATTCATGAGAACATACAAATCTTCTGAAGCAATGCTAAAAGATGATAATTTTGTCATCATTTACTCACCCTCATGTCACATATTATTTTAAAGAATGTTCCAACTGTACTTGTCTACACAAATGCAACTCAAAAGGGTGTAAAGAAACATAAGACCCCACTGAGTTTCACTATATAGACAAAAAATATCTTTTTGTGTTGCACAGAAAAGTCAAACCGTTTTCTAAGAACTGCATGAAAAAAATATAGTTGGACCAAAATGTAGTGTCAGTTCAGAAGAAATCTGTTTGACCTTTACAAACTCCATCTTGTTCTGCACTGTAATTGCGCGTAATTCTAGGGGTCAACCTCAGGAGGATTCTCATTGACCTCAATTGCTTTCACAAGCACAACCATGTTTATCCTGCTGAATTACAGGCAGAGTGTAAGTGCTGAAATTCAGTGAATGCGGTAAGTCTGCTATGTCAAGCAGTGTTAAAATAAATAGCTTGTTAATAGGGATGCACCGAATGTTCGGCAACTGAAATTATTCGGCCGAAAAAGCGAAAAGACCAAATAAATTTTACCAAACAATGATATGACGCGATCAAATAGCAACCAGCGCAGAGTGAGAGGCGCACACTCTTTATTATACTGCTTTTAATTGTACAGTAAAAAAAAAAAATAAAAAAAATACATGCCTGATTCAAGAAGGGGTCTGATGGCCAAAAATTATTATTTTACTAACTTATTAATTTTAAGTAAAATTGTGCTTTGTTGGTATAATGTCTGCTAGTATGTTTAACAATGTTCAGTGTTAAGTAAATATTTTTGAAATTGTTGTTTTGTACAGTGTTTAATCTTGTTCGGTTTCGGCTTCGGCCAAGAATGTTCATTTCGGTGCATCCCTACTTGTTAACATTACATTTAAGTGTTTAGCAATGGGCACTGTTTTAGGTGAGTAAAGGTAGACCACTTCAAAGATAGATGATGGAAAGAATGAGCAATAGACTGATAGAACGAGTGATAGATAGGTAGGTAGATTGACAGATAGTTTGATAGAGCAAACGATAGAGCGATAGAACGAGCGATAGAGAGATAGAGAGATAGATAGATAGATAGATAGATAGACAGAAGCAAGGAAGAACTTCTCCAAATCATTGCTGTAGGTATTGGGCCATAATGAGCGATGGAAGGGCTAGGAGTTCGAACATTTTTTTGGACACCGCCATGGCAGAGAAACCTTGAGCAATTTTTGTTGATTCAACAATTTTGGTTAATGGGTACCACATCTATTCCACAGCCTATAATTACAACAGTTCAGTTTCCAATCTCAGCTCCGCATGCCTCACAAGTCCTCGCAGAAGTCGCCAATTTTCCGCCATTTTCTTGGATCGTGCCCTCATCCCATTCCACTGAACATGTTAAAAAACACAGCGTTTAGATAAGCCTTGCATTTACAGACAGGTGACCTAGATGATGTCATGCCTCCCATACCACAACCTCTTGTCACCCCGCCTGGGATTGGATTGTGGGAAAATACACAACAACTCTTCCATGGTTTTCTTCCATTCCCTTTCTCAAAACACATAGGATTTGATGGGAGGCGACTTGCGTTTGGATATCAGGAAACAGGCAAATCTCTTTCAGGGCCATTAGAAAAACCTGGGCTGAACCTAATTGTGTCAGGGTGTTTCACATGGTTCTCGCCTACACCATTTCCATAAGTGGGTGAATTCTACCAAGCCTTCCATGTCTTGTCAATGTGCATTCTGCACTAAGGTAAGACATGGGAATTTTCTGCTTTTCACTGAGAAACGTGCCCCTGATGGCTACACTGATGGTCTGTTTTGGTCTTTTGACATAGAGAGCTACCTAATGATAAGTCCTGAAAGAGTAAAATCCTACAGCATGACATTTCACAGAGCGATCAAGCAAATCTTTAAGAATCTGTCAGCCCTTTTCACTTCATTTCCCAGACTTCCTGGTTCAAAAAAAAAAAAGATGGCTGTCTGAGTGATCATTCACAAATGCACATTTCCTTTTAGGAGATGATGGTTGCAGCCGGTTTCTGCGAGAGACTGATGAGGTAATGAGACGTTGTTGGATAGTATTTTCCAGCGATTTTTCTGCTGAACTGTGTGTAAAAGGACCATTTCATTATATTGATGATGACAATTCAAATTTGGGTTAAAATGACAGTTCATAAATAAAAACCCAGTTTAACAATTTTGAGTTAAGTTTACCCAGTAGATTTCACAAAAGGTATGCGTGTAAATATTATATTTCTACCTGCAGGAGTTTAGTAATGGAATATCATATTTCACCTCATGGTTTTATTATTACAGAAGACAAAGTTCACGTAAAACGCAAGACTTTGATGAGGACGTCAGCAAAAATCACGCTATTGCCACATTCTTTTCCAAAGCGTGTTTGGCTTGGATAACACTGGGAAACATATTTCCCTGAGGGGAAATTTGTTTCATATCTTTTGGAAGTTAACAGAGGGGCAAAGCGATATGATTACTAGATTGTGAAGAATAATGTAACCACACTGGTTTGATGATATCCATTTTGCGTCGATCTTCTCAACTTCCCATTTACACGCCGTTAAATGTGCTTGCAATTTAACCTTGATCATGGGAATAGGGAGAGTGCCTCGGTTGAAATGCACAAAAAACAAACAGTGCAGGGCTCTCGTTTTCAGAGGGAGAAAGATGGATGGGAGCAGTTTGGTCCAACAGTAACAGATAGTTAAATAAATATCAATGGTAATGATATAACAAATGCAGGGACGAGAGGACAGAGGACAGGAGGTTTTTTTGCACCCACAAGATGAAGACATATAGCTTGAAGCAATTGCTTAAAATGAAAACCCCAACATTTTGTCATTATTTATTCACTTGTTCCAAGCCCGCTTGACTTTCTTTAGAAACACAAAAAGTGATTTTTTTTTTTTAAGAATATCCTGGCCACATTTCATCGTAACAAAACAGTACGAGGACTCATCCCAAATGATAAAAAGCATCAAAAAGTAAAAAAAAAAAAAAAGGTCATAAAAGTAGTTCTTGCTAACCTTGGCAGGTTTAGATAATGAAAGTAGCAGCAATGTCTGATGTGTGAAATAATTATTTTTCTAGTCAGATCTGATCACTAAATCATTGATTTAGTTAAAAAAAAAAAACCGTCCGAATAAGTTTATGAATCTGACTGATCTGGTTCTTGAATTCAACTCCCTTATTCAATGATTCAGTCAAAATGGTTATCAGTCCAATGTAGGAGATGATTATCAGTGTATAACACTATAAAGCTGTCATTCAAATATATGATTCAAAAAGAAAGTGTAATAACCAAATAGATTTTTTATTATATTTTTATCCTGTTTTTACATACTTTCTGAAAATTTATCATGGAAGAATAAAAATCATTCTGGTTTGGCACAATATGAGGGAGAGCAAATGATGACAGACTCTAAATTATGGGTGAACTGTCCCTTTAAGGCCGAAAACATGCAGAGAGAGATTACCAGGGGGAAGGGGGTCCCTGCAGAGCGCACATGAGGGTTTATTGACTTTGCCAGCAAAGCCTCCATGTGTTCAAAACAGATGGACGGTGAGGTATGGAATCCGTGCACGATGTCCAAAGAACAAAAGTATCTGCTTCATCACGCACACTTTGCCAGCCGAGAAATTTTTTTTAAAATATCTCAGCAAGTCCATGTGTAAAGACAGCGCAAAAAATGTGTTTTGCGTCTACAGGGATGGGCCAAAACAAATAAGGTTATGAAAACACTTTAAAACATTTATTTTCTTGCATCGCTGCACAGTCCTTATGTAAGAATGAAGGGCAGGTACAATATGTTTTGAGGTGATGGTGGAAAAATATTGGAAAAACATGGAGCAAACTTGGATACTGTAAACCACTCCACTGAAACTCAATAAATATTAAGTGAATAAAAAACAGGCTTCATGTGTTACGCCAAGACAAGACAAATCAATAGCTAACGGTACATTTGGGCTTTTAATACCCAAGTGATCTTTAAATAATAAATAAAGACTGAACCAAAAACTTTAAAGGGAGTTTACCCAAAAATAAAATGCACTACCGTTCAAAAGTTTGGAGTCAAAAAAAAAAGATATATATTTATTCACAAAAGAAGCATTTAATTGATCAAAAGTGACAGAAAAGACATTTATAATGTTGCAGCAGATTTCTATTTCAAATACGGGTTAATTCAGGATGATTGGACAATTTTTCCCGTCATCTCAATGACAAAATGTGCCCCAGTTCAACCTGAATTTAACCTAAATGCTGTTCTTTTGAACTTTCTATTGAAAGAAATCTGAAAAAAAGGATTATACTTTTCACAAAAATATTAAGCAGCAAATATGTTTTCGATATTTAGAAGTTTGTTTCCTTGAGCACAAAATCAGCATATTAGAATGATTTCTGAAGGATCATGTGACACCAAAGACTAGAGTTGGCTGCTGAAAATTCAGCTTTGTCATTCCTTTGCCAGGGATAAACTACATTTTGAAATATTGGTATTAAAATTGCAATAATATTTCACAATATTACTGTTTATTCTGTATTGTTTTTAGCAAATTTTTGAGCATTGGTATGTTTTGAATGGTAGTGTAACTTTGTGTGAAAAACAGACCAAAATTTAATTTGTTATTCACTGATCCTCACTTCTAGAGGATCACTGAGTCATTGAGTTGAACTCAAGAACCGAATGAGTCAATTTGTGGATGAATCATCAATAATGGTTTCGTGAACTAGACCAACCAATTCACTTAAACTTCAAAAACGATTTGATTTGTGAAGAAATGAAACCTTATGCATTTAGAATGACATATGGGTGATTAAATGAAGACCGAATTTTCATTTCTGGATGAGCTATTCCTTTAGGTTATCCAGAGGTTAAAGGTTAAAAAAAAAATGAAGGGAAAAAATCAGCACCCCTGGGACCTCTGTATGGAGTCTCAGGAAAAGCGATAAATCCCCATCTTTCAAAAGACAAGGCATTTATTTTTGCTGAGGTTGCCCCGGCCGTGTTTAATACAACTGAAGTCCATAAATCAATGGTCTTTGTTACCTCACACACTTGTGTGTACTGCGTTTGCGTGTGTGTGATTTTAGCTTTTAGCTAAGGTCACTGAGGTGAGAAAGAGTTTAACATATATGGCTGACTTGAGAAAAAAACAGCAAAACAACTTTTAACCACACTTTTTTGCTTACCGTATTAGTCGGGTCATCTTGTAGCATTGAGTCATACAGCTTATTGGCATCCTCATACCTTCAACAGAGATCATGTTTAAGGATAATCAACAGGAACACCGGTCATGTGAAATTAAGTGTAGGGCTATCACATAAAGTTCACAGTAACCAACTTTTTGTATACAGAGCGGCTTGTTTCTATAGTGACCAAGGCTACGTATCCAAGCGGCAGAAATAAACAGTCATTATTGTACCTCCTCAAATGTTGTGCGAGGTTTACTAGCTCCACAAAGAGTGTAATCCACAAACGTGATTGCCTGCACTCTGATTTACCTCTAAACAAATCAGCCTGCACTTCCACCACAAATCAGGCATCGTTTCGAAGCACATTTCGCTTATAAAGCATTCCGAGGAGAGACATTTATGAGTTACAGATGCAAAAAAATAAATAAATACACCCGACGGGCCCTTCAACCTGAACTGAGGATTGGAGAGCACAGTGTTTGAAAAAACGTTATGAATTACGATGCTGATCTCATACAGTGTTTTCTGAAGAATGGGAGGACAATGCCACAAGCACTTCACTTGTCATGTCGAATGAAAGATGAAATCGAGCTTGTTTTTTTTTTACAAGGGACAACCTGCAAAGCTAACGCTGGCGCAGCCAAGGCAGTCGGTCTTATGATCAAAACCTGTTTCAGCCCGCAACCAACAACAGAAGCAGCTCTGGTTCTTATTATCATTGAGCTCCAACGCCACTTCTCTTCTCACATCCACATTAGAGCTCAATAATTCTCTGGCACATCTCACATGGCACCAGCCGCTTTGACTCTATTCATGTAGGATTCAACCATGTGGGTGTGGAGGGGAGAGTTTCATTTAAGCTGAGCGTCTGATGGCAATTAGACCCAAATTTGCAGTTTATTTAATCTGACTGTGCAGGCGCAATCACTCACAATTACGGAACAGCCTCTGGCATAACTGATAAACACGTCGAAGATATGGTGCGCAGACCGAAACATCTGAAATCCTGCTGAAACTCTATACATTAACATTAATTTATGAGCTTCTTAATTGTTTGCTCAAACATAGAGACAGGGCGAATTTCTCTCAAAGAGGAAACGCAGAGCATAGGTACTATGTTTGGAGGTCTGGCCGGCTTTGTTTTCCCAACCAGGGAGACAAAAACAGAAAGAGAGGGGGAAAAAAAGAGGGACCCCCAGAATAATAGCGGGAAAGACCACTTCCGTTTTCAGAATTCCTGGCTCAGGCAAAAGAGCCACAGGACTACCGAGGGCTAAACCGTTCTCTCTCGCTTTTCCACTTAGCAGAAGGAACGGTGGCTTGCAAAATAAACAGTCTCCCTTCCCACGCATCCTGCCACTTATGTCCCAGAACCTCCCCTCACCCTCCCTTGTAGCTAATCCAAGGCCGTGGTGTTAAGACAGTGCTGCGGTGTGTCTTACCTCTCCAGAGCCTCCAGCCGCATCCCTGCTAATCGCTTCACTCTGTGACTGTCTGGAAACTGCCTCTTCAGCTCCTGTAGGCAACTCTACGCAAAACACAACAACAGTGATGGAGTTGACCAAGTGAACATTTTCCAAACAGTCTCCGTAAACTGGTTTTCCAAACATTCTCTGTCCTCCACTGGTCTGTTAAAGTCCTGTTGTAAATTCTTGCTATTGGTTGAGCCAGTGTGAGAAACAACCAAAAAATGGGTTTGTTTTTTTTCTAAATATTAAGATAAAATATTAATAATATATTTATAAATTTACACTACTGTTCAAAAGGTAGCCTGTTAAATGTTTTTGAAATACATTTCTTATGCTCGACCAGGAATAATTTATTTTATTTAAAAAAATACTTTAAATACAGTAATACGGTGAAATATTACAAATAAAAATAACAGTTTTTTATTTTAATATATTTTAAAATGTAATAGTCTTCAGTGTCGCATGATCCTTCAGAAATCATTCTAATATGCTGATTTGGTGCTGAAGAAACATTCCTTATTAATATCAATGTTGAAAACAGTGTTGCCTAACATTTTTGAGGAAACTGTAATATTTTTGTCAGAATACTTCGATAAATAGAAAGTTCCAATGAACAGCATTTTTAACGGCAGTGTTACTTATTTATATAGAACCTGGTTTCATTTTTTGTTTTTTGACTAGAACAGAGAGAAATGAAAAGTTTCTTTTATGAACAAAAAATCTACAGAAATAATTCAAAGGTTAGTGTTTCAGGAAAAACAAAATAATGATTTACATTAAAAACATGCAAAAATAACTGAAAAAATATGTACATTTTTAATTTTAAAAGGGTCAACAGATAATTTAATTTTAAAAAAATATACGCACTTTATAGGGTTAACATAAAAAATACTGAAACATTAAACATAAGTCATAATTGTTTGCCCAAAGAATTAATTCATGTATTCTTTGCACGACAGTTTAAACGAGTGACTATGCAAAGCCTGCTGGATTATAGAGCACTTGAAAATTATACTACAACTCTCAAGGGTGATGAAATGTGGGCTTCGTACATTTTTTTTCATCCACAGCATTTAAAAACTTTATAGATCTACTCTAAAAAGTGTGATGTGACTAATTTGACAAGACAATATTACAGCTAAGGTTTCTGCTGACCATAAAATGAAACAGTAACTTTCCTGTCCACGGGTGCCATGATAAACAGGTCGGCCATACAGCTGTGAGGCAAGACGTGAAAAATTGCAAGTGACGTGGGTGAGAATTCAGAGCACTGCACAGCGGGATCCCACAATTCCACACTGGCTACTATAAAAAGTAAAAGCAGAATGCTACTTTTATCAGTTCTTTCCCACTGAGATGTACAGGCCCCTGTTTTTTTTTCACACACTCATGACTTGGTGAGGAATGGTTACTGTCAAATTCAATGTTTTCCTGGTTAAAATGGAAAGTTTGCTCTGTGGCTTAGCTCGGCTGACCCATCATGCTCACAGACGGTTTTTCCCGATGTTTTCCTAGCCACTGGTAAGAACCTCTGAAACTGACTACTGTAAGTGTCTCAAGTCAACAAGGAGGATCCGGAACATCCCTGATTTTAATCTTAATCCATTTGTTTGTTTTTTTCAAAAAAACCCTGCAAAACATTGCATTTTCAACTGGCAAAAACTGTACTGATGTTTAACAACAAACCGATTGTTCAGCTGGCAAAATGTCTTTTTGAAAAAACGTTCAGTACACAAAAGCTCCATAAAACAGTTTTGAAAATTACATGATCTAGATTTATACAGTGCGGACCATTGTAAAGTCCGTAAATCTATCCCTCACAGCCTTGTTTTCATCCACATTCAACATGGCATCTTACCTGAAAGTCTATAGACGAGAGAGTGCGAGAAAGTTAAAGAAAACTCACCCAGGCCAGATCGTCACGACTGCAGTCCAGCGCCGCAATCATCACCTGCTCGTAAATTATCCAAACTGAACACAGGAGGCAAACATAAAATGACACCATATTAGGAAGTCCATTTTTCATCATGGTAGCAAAGATGACAAATGAACATCGAGGCCATGTGAACTCCTTTTGAGCAAACTGTGACGTTTCTTCTCTGTATCATTAGAAAAGACAATCTTTAGCATCCATCAGCGACATAGTTTGTCTTCGTAATCTCACGGTGTGGGCGGACAGATTTCCACAGATTTCGTGGAAACGTTCAGGAAATTCACGCCACGTCGCCAAACAAAACTAAGACGCCGAATTTTGACAAGAAAACCTCAGCGTATTCATCAATTTTATGTATCAGTTCAGTCAAACACCGCAAAGGGTGAGCGAATTTCACCCTCTATTCGTCATGACATGCGTTATGTGCTGAAATTGCGCAGCTATCGTCGTCTCGGCCCAAGAAGTGCGTCGTTACTTTGACAGATTACAGAAATTTTAAATTCCTACAATTAAATGCTTAAGTAATTACCAAGATGGCAACGTTTAATGTTCAACTTGCAACCGTAACAGAGCGAGTGGCTTTAGCTGCTCTATTTACAATAAAGAAAACCGATTAGGGGGCTTGGCTAATGGATCCAATTAATGAAATTAATGCTCCATGACAGACAAGCGTGTTTTGACAAGCATGCCCGAGTCTATCGGCTGAATGATTTCAAACGTGCTAATTGAGAAAGAACAATAAAATCCCACTGAACAAGAAAAAACTGATATGCCAAAACTAACAAACGCCTGGAGTTTTTTTTTTTTAGCTGTTTTTATGATTCCAAGTCTTGCTTTGATAATTACCATCTTGTTTCACAGCCAATTTAAGCGCTGGTTTCAATAAAAAACAAGCTGTGTAAAGTATTTACCCTGCTCTTTATGGACAGTATGAATCATAATCACAAAATAAAAAAAAGTTTCTGTAAAAAGACTACATCATGCATCAATAAAATACAACTCATCACACAGCAAGTGCTCTTCGTTTGTGTCAAGGTGCAATTTGTGTGAGAAGTAGAAGAAGACTTTCCCTGATCTTTGCTTCATTCTTTCCCAAATTAGATAACAGACCTAGACATTTGAAAAGATTTCTATAGCCATGAAAACCGTCGTTATTTTTTTGTTTGCTTGTATGAGCACATGTCTTGCAGTAAATTCCTTATTGAGAGCTGTTTGGCAACTTACAGCTTGGATCTTTCATTGTTGTTTGCTAAGATTCTTCAAACAGTAGTGTTGTTCTCTTACGAAACAGCCAAAAGACATTTAATAATAGTTATTTGAGATTACATGTGGTTTTAAAATAACAACATGAACGAAGGAGAAAAAAAGGCCTAAATTCGATTTGTGTAGAAAAAGAGCCCAATTTCTCCAATTGGTAAACCAAAATGGTCAACTATAGGAGTGAGTTTTAGAGCCAGTATGAAGGGTTGGAACACCTCTGAGATAATGATTTTAGCTGAAGAGAGTTTTGGCTTTAGTGGCTATGTTTGACAACACGATTGCAGGACTTCATCTGCTTGTCTGGCTTAGAAACCCATAACTGACCAAAGCAAATAAATATTAAGCCATCTGAAATGTTTCTGCTGTTTCCACTATAACCTCATTTCAATGTCAAGAGAAAAGCTGAAAAGTCTTTTTGTTATCGGATCTTTAAGACTAGGGAAAGAAAAAAGAATTGGCGCTCTTTTCAACCTTCTGCAATAGTCATATTCAAGCGGTCAGACACTCGACAGACAATACTTTTGTTAGAGAGAAAAATAAGCCAGTGTTTGTTCAGCAACTTCATATGTGTTTTTATCATTTTGTTTTCCCCTGGTTTTGGATCCATTAATGGATCTAAATACTTAAGAAAAAATATATAAAAACCACACAAAAAAAAAAACCTTTTAATGTTGAAATTTGGCATAACTGCTTATTTTGAAAAATCTTGCCTAAAGAAAAATAAAGGTTAATAGCTTCCACCACTGAACTTTTATTGCCCTGACTGTTCTAAAGACAGCAAAACCTTAACTAGTCACTTAGTGAAGTTTATCTGTATATATTTTTATTTAACCAAAATTTTAAGTTTTTAGTGGCAGTACTTTAAAGAGTGAATTTAGAAACAACTTCTCAGAGAGTTTTATCTCACATTTTAATAGTAAACCCTTTCCGAGAAGTTGTACTCTAAGTTCATTCCACTTTAAATCACTGCCACTACAGCCATCACACCACTGCTTTTGTAACACACTCAATGCCTTTAATACATTTCAAGACAATTACTGTCAGACTTCAGGGCCCGTATTCATGAATAATCTTAGTGCTAAGAGTTGCTCCTAATAACAACATTCTAAGAAAATTCTTAGAAATGTGGGTGTTTCCTCTTAAAATTAAAGAAAAGATCCTAGTAAAGAAAAACTTAATTCAGAAAGCATCTTAACCCTTAAAAGAGGTTGGAGTACGGACAAGGACTTTTAAGAGGCTTAAGAGTTTCTTTAGCAGTGGAGAAAATGGACGAAACATGAAGAGGGAGAAGAAATGTGTTGCACACAATGCATGACAGTGAGTTAACAAGACGCTACACATTAGATCATGCAGGGATTATGTTTGTGACCGATATTATTAGAGACACGCTAACATCTCCGACACTGCGCAGAAATGCCATAGCGCCAGAAATGGAAGTAATCACTACATTAACTACATTAACATATTTGGCAACTGGAAAAATGCAACTATGCAGCAGTGATGATTTGGGTCTGTCACAACCTTCTATAAGCAAAGTGATCACACAAACAGTTACAGCACTTTCAGAACCTTATTCTGTCGCTGTTCATTTCCTATAAAATATGTTAATTATGACAGCATGGTGAATAAAAAATAAAGAATATATATATATACACCTGTATACATGGGTCAAAGACGAAAAAGGGTTTAAGCATAAAAACAATAAGTGTAATAAAAGCATGTCAACATATTCTGTTACACCAAATACACAAAATAATGATCTTTAAAAAAACATCATATGACCCCTTTAAAAGCGCTCTTTTATTTCCTTATTAGACAACCAACCAATCACATTCTTCAAAAGACTGTGCCATAGCTAGCAACAGGGTCAGCCCCGCCTCCTCACTAAGATAAAAGTTTTTGTCTTTTCCTTGCTCAGAGTTGCTCTCAGGTTGGTCCTGAATTACTTTTAAGCTAAGACTCTTTTTAAGCTAAATTAGGAGCTCTCTGAGAGGATTCTTAGAATCTTTAAGAATACGGGCCCAGATCGCCTGCTGTGGGAAACGTTCCTATTATTTGTCTAATGGGAATATAACCTCAATATTTTGCGAGGACTATGATTGTTCCACACAATAAAATGTTATAGTTATTCAGCCTATTTATTTGTTAAATATCTGTCAGTTCTTCTATTGAAGGAATGCGCTTAGTGTCCATATGTGCATAAGAAATGCATCTGATCGTTGCCAGGCAGACATCACCCAAAACCGGATCTAATTATAAAAGCCATTAAGTTTTAATAAACTGAGGCTAAAGGTTATTTGTGTTTTAAAACTTCTTATAACTTTGCTTTTGTTTACTGTAAATGTACTTACTGTCATCTCCCAGTTTAGATGCGTGCTCATTAATCAGCTCTTCACCGACATCCACAATCTGCTCACTGTTCCTGTAATTCTCTTCTCTCCACTTACGGAGTTTGTCACGTGACAGTGACGTCGTCGGTTAACGCTGTGAGGTCAATGAAGGGCAAAGGCAAAATCCAACCTTTTTTATTTTCAAACAATACCCATAAAAGGAATTTAATAAAAAAAAAATCTGCATTTAAGTATATAATATTTAGCCAAAATCACAAAGTAACTCAAGAGTAACTGAAACGTTTTAAGATGATGGTCCACTTCAACAGCAAAATATAAATATTAAGTACATACATACATACACACACAAATAAATAAATAAATAAAACTCAAAATATGGGGGGAATCAGTGATGTAAGTCAAAGATCAGTACCAATGAAGTAATTTAAAATTAGCCTATTTAGTTATTAATAATTAAATAACAATTCTAAATAAATAATAATTCTAACAATTCAATAATGTATTTTTCTCTTGTTTTCTCGGTTTTAGGAAGTAAATAATGCAGATTCAGTAATAAAATAGACTTTATATGGAATTCATAAGTTTTAGTCTGTTTTATTATCATAGAAAGTCTTCGTACTGTAGCATTTCTAAATGTTATTGTGGTTTATATGCTGTGTCTATTTTCTCTCTCTCTATGTGCTCAATTGGTCTCTAAGGAGCTGTGGATCTGGCTCAGCGTGTGATTTACTCTGCTGTGTCTACCACACAGTGCACTCACCAAGTGGACTCAGCACATGCTTGTTTATAGTAGCACAACCTAAACATGATGTCATTCCTATTTGTGGCTGCTTGTACATTGTACAGTTTAACCAAGGCTTGTTTCCTAAAGGACACTGCTGGCGTAGTGGTGTAAAAAGGGCACCTATAGTCATCCTCTCTACAAAACGTGTGCGGTTCATTGTGCTCTGAGCTCTGGTGACTTGTGGATTCATAATTTCCAAGTCTCCTGGATGGCAGTCACTTGATATGTGGATAAGGCTTTTTGCTGAAAGTTTTTGATGAAAACAAGCCAGTGCTAGCTGTTGGGCAGTGTTGGGAAGTAACTAAAAGGCAATGCTACTTAACTAACACTATACTGTTCAAAAGGGGTAAGTTAGTTAATACTTTTAGTATTCAATTATTTCAGACGATTCATTACAAAATTACAAAACCGATTCACCATTTCGAATCCCTAAATATTAATTGTTGTGTTATTGTCATATTTAGTATACATTTACCAGGTTATCAAGTTTGACACTGTCACCCTAATTGAGGTTGTTCATTCATTCAGAGCCTCTCGTTGTTTTTGAATGAGCAAAAACATCTTTGTCTGACAGGGCAATGTGTTAAAGTCACATTGTAATGCAAATAGCAACAGATCTTTCTTCCAAATTATGGCATACAATCAAATGAAACAGATTATCAAAAAGAAAAAATGTAGGGTTCTTGGTTCAATCCATTGTTCACTTAAAGTCGGCATTAAATCAAAATTGACTTTATTTACTTTACTAGTGCACATTGCTAGTCTTGATGTGAACAATTAATCCGTGCAAGTTAATCCGCTGAAAAAAATAGTTTGTCTTGGTAATCTTTAATCAAAATCTGAACATTCACTTCTGCTCTGGAATGGCAGTCCTTCTCTGAGTAGTTTGATATGAGTGAGAGACAAAGAGGAGGAGCGCCAAAATAAAACCATGCCCTCTATTCAATATTCCGTTTCAGATGGAAATACGTCACTACACTGAAATAAAGTCGGCAGCAACTTCCGGTTCACGCGGACTTTAAGGCTCCAAAAGGGTGTTTTTACAGTGATGCAATAGAAGAACCATTTTGGTTCCCCAAATAATCTTTCAGTGAACAGTTCTTAAATTAACCATTTTGAAAAACATTTTAAAAATCTAAAGAACCTTTTTCCACTATAAAGAACCTTTTCTGCATTTGAAATGTTCCATGGATGTTCAGGGTTCTTCATGGAACCATTAATGCTAATAAAGAACCTTTATTTTTAAGAGTGTTGGTTGATCTTGAGACTTGCAGTTGATTATGGGAGATTTGAGAATGACTGCAGAAGTCTAGCATACACCACCAGAGAGAAGTTTGCTGTTTCACCAGAAGATCCAGTTATGACATTTTATGAAGGTCAAAAAAGACAGAAACATATAATTGTTCACAATAAGATGAATACCATACGTTTAGAAAATAGATTGGATGATTTTCCATTCATTCTGAAAGGGGACATTGGATGCAAAATTCACTTTTGCATGGTGTTTGAACTTAAATGTGTGTTGGCAGTGTGTGTACACAACCACCCTATAATGATAAAAATCCATGCAGTGCTTTTTTTTTTTTTAAATCCCCACAAATTTCTCAGATCAAGCCATTCACAGATTCTGGGCAAAGTGACATAGCTTTGCCCAGGCCCCTCCCATGACTGTTAGTGAGTATGTTTTGTTTTGTTTTTTTGTTTTTTTTATGAATCTTTGCAAATCGCCTTTCCTAAAAATGTGCTAGTTAGCAACTTCCACAATGAACGTGGCTAAAGTTTAAGTGCCCTTAATATGGATTTTTCAAAATTACCTTTTTCATTAAAAAGTGTAACACTGAATGAAAACATCCTGCAAAGTTTTAAATCTGAAAGTGCACCGTGTAAAGTTATTGTCTCTTAAAAGAAAGAGTCGACTCTGAATCATTGAAACGAGTCGTTTTTAAAACGAATCCCACACCGTCTCATGCTGACGTCAAAATGAAACATTCAGTTACACCTGCTTGAATTTACATCACCGTTTAATCAAAGCATAAGCCTGTATGTCATCATAAGCAGTGTTAAGAAAGTAACGATAAGAACAGCATGAGCACAGCGGCCACACGCGCATCTGACAGACACAACACAACACCATCATCAAATCAGCAGGACATCAGTAATGGACAGTATGCAAAACCCATGCTTGGTGATAGTCTGGCTCAGGGGCCACATAAACCACATGAAATAAACAACAGTGACTAGGCAACTAACGTTAGGAATATGTAGATTTTTGTACGAACTCGGGACGCCTGTAGCACAACAGCGTTCTATGCTGTTGAGAAATTTTAACCAAAGTATGTTATAGACTTTTCATGAAGACCCTAAAGAATCATACCAACTTGTGGAAAATGGGCATCCGATGACCCCTTTAAGGGCCCACTGCTGACCTGTGTGTAAGACCAGTTCACGTAGAAGACACTTCATGTTCACAGGTCCGACAAGCTCTTTACAGGCATCAGATTCATTTACAATTGGGTCTACGGGAAGTGAGGAAAAAGGTAGCATATGCTTTGTGTTTACTTTGGAGCTCCGCTTTTGCCAGAAGTGTCACCATAAGGAGAGATCAATAGCAGCCATTCGAAAACCGAAATTGTGCTGCTTAACTACTGTGTGCGTAGTTTTCCGTGCTTTTGCAGCACCACATGTGACATGAGGTAGACCTGTGTTTCCCCTTATATGCCTGCTTCCACAGAAGGAGGGCATTCACTGAAATACTCTGTTCAGATATTTTATTTTGATTTCTGACTAAAGTAGTCAAGGCTACTGATCTCTGACACAAGCAGTTATAAAGACACAATTTGGAGCAATGGGTGAGGTGTTCTGTGGCTTTAAACAACCGCTGCGCTTTTCCAATCTATTTTTTTCAAGCAATATCTTCCAATTACAGAAAATGAAGGCAGATGCCATTTACAACAGTATTTGCTTTGAAAGCAAATCTCGACCCCAGCCTGACAGGATCGCTTTCAATCTTAGACAAATCATACACATGACTTCAGCTGTGTGCCTGCTTTGTTGTAATGAAGCTTCTTCCACGGCACCTTTGACCTCTAGACCTGGTCGTTGTGGCAAATTGCAATTATTAAGTAACACATTTTCTTTCTCACTTTCTTTATTGGCTCCAGCACACACATACATACAAAGACACTAACAAGTGTGTCACACACTTCTTGTTCCAGTGCCAAAAAATAGTCAACTCTCGACTGATCCTATGACACAAAACCTGGTCTAAAAGTGTAATTGCTCATGGTAGAATGTCTGTCAACACATGCGCAGGATTACATGCTGCTGGATTGAGTTTATGGATGTCATTCTTTCTCATTAAATTCAATTCAAACCGTGTCTCAAATGACACTACATTGTGAAAGTGAAAATGGGCAGTTGTTACCTTGAAGACTTATTTCTTCCTGATGTGACTTCTAAAATGATTTGCATTGATGTAACCCAGTGTATTATGGTTGAATCATTAATTTTAAATTTATTTGACTTGAATATAGTTAATTTAGATGTTAAAAAATAAGTTTTTTTTTCTTTTACGATGTATAAAAAATGTAAGTAAATGTCTTGACCAAACTTGCCAAATTGCTTTAAGTTATCAATTTCATAAAAGTTTTACACAAATTGAATGGCTTTATTTACATGGTTTTAATCAAGTTTGTTTTGGTGATAATTTTACATGGCGAGCAAAGTGCAATTCTGAAACATAAATAACATCACATTTAAAATAATTAAAAATAATAAAATATATAAGCCTCACCTACACACCAAGTATTTTCTGAAATGAATACTTAATTTCTTTAAATTAAATTTATACTTATACTTCAAATTTAAAATTTATACTTGGAAAAAAAGGTTTTAAATATTAAACATTGTGTGTGACAAACTAGATGTACGTTAACATGAATATGCTTGTAATCTTGATTCGTAATATCTCCCCAAAACTTAGCGACACATTTACTGGAGATGTGATTAGAAAAAACAAAGGCCTGTTGAAAAGCTATTGCATTGTCTCTCTACACTCCAACATGTGCTCTAAAGCTGTAAAACCACAACCAAAGAGCACCTCATTTAAGCTGACAGCCTGGAAACCTTTTCCTGTTGTGAAATACGTTTCAAGCTCACGACACTGCACATTATTCGCCGTCCTCAATTGGAACTCATTTCGTTTAGCAAAACACTTCCTGAGACCGAATGGGTCACGCCTCAGTTGTCCTCAATATGTGAGGGGCAATAGAGCATGACCCACAACTCACCCATGCCACTGGCACTCCTTGGCCTCGGTTCGT